CCCTATCCAGGGGCCCTTCATTAGACTCCAGAACCCTCTTGTTAGACTCCAGGCTCCCACTCCAAGCCCCGTCATTAGACTTCAGGGTCTATTCAATAGACTACAACCAGCCCCTCTCGATAGGCTCCAGGTCCCCTCACTAGACTTCTAGCTCTCTTGTTAGACTCCAGACCCCCTGGCTAGACTTAATTCTCGCTTGTTAGACTCCATCCCCCCTTATAAAATGCCAGCTCTTGGCTTTGATTCTTCTGTGGCAAAGACCTCAGCTAGCCCCTGGCAGGGACAGAGGGTTTGGACACTTTTGGATTCCTATCTGAAATCTCTAGACTGATCTTGTGATTCCTGTGTACACTGAGCCATGCTTATATAGTGTGTTGCCCAGTGGTGCCTTTTAAAGGATCTTGTAGCCTCCCCAGTTTAGAATCACTGCCTGGAACACTTCCAATAATGGAGATTCCCTCACTTCTTTGAGCATCTGATGTCATGTGAAAGTTCTCCTGGGCATCCTACCTCTACTTTATGCTGCCTACTTCTAGTATTCTGGGCCACAGATTGCAGGACTGTTGGGCTAAAGAGAACCTCACAAGGTCATGTCCAGCCCACCCCCCTGCTCAGGATCATCCCTGATGAAACTAGCTCAGCCTAGCATCCATCCAACCTGATTTTGGACATCTTCAAGGATGGAGAATCCACCATGAGAGTCTGGGGGCATACTTCTAACTGTTATGAATGAGATTGGAAATTTATCAACCCAGAAATAACCACTGTGATTCCAGAAAGTGATCTAGTGCTGGAACAAGCCTTTCAGGACCAAGAACAGTCCTACAGTAAGGTCATTCTCAAGCCCCTAGATTTTTATACCACAATCTTTAGTAAAAGGAGGTAAAGGAGCTGGGGTCAGGCATTCCCTCCAAGGGGCCATGCAGGCACTGACTTAATGGGCTGCAAGCCAATATTTCTACCCTCCTTTAAGGACGCAGTCCAGGCTGGAGATGGTGAGTGGGCTCTGCAATGCTCCTGCTGCGACAAAAACTGGAGGATCCTGGCTAGAGGATCTTTCCCCTTTACTCAGGCTCAGATCAATGCCAGACTGGGAGTCAGGAAGGAATTTCTCCCCTGGTCAGATCGATACAGAATGGGAGGAGTTTGCCTTTCTCTGTAGCAGGGAGTATGGCCTCTATCTGGGATCTCTTGAGCATATTATTAACAATCTTTTTCAGCAGTGGGATGTTGGCTGCCATGGTGTGTAGTTAGTTTTACTAAGAGGTTGTATAATCATAGAATCCTATAGAAATACGGCTAGGAGGGATATTTAGAGGTCCCATGCCCTGCTGCAGCAGGATCAGCCCTATCTAAACCATCCTATACAAATCCATCATCTAACCTCTTCCTAAACCTACCATCAACCTTGACACAGCACAAGACATCACACATGAACCTGCCACAGGAAAAACGGGGACCACAGCAGCCAACATCCTGGAAAAAGTTGTTAATATATGCTGAAGAAATCCCAGATAGAAGCTCTGTCCCTGCTACAGAGGAAGGCAACCCCTCCTCCCCCTACTCCATACCAATCTGACCATGGGGTAAAATTCCTTCCTGACCCCCAAAATGGCACCAGTCTGACCCTGAGCAGAGGGGCAAGACTATCTAACAAGGACCCTTCAGCTTCGGTTCCAGCAGGAGCATAATGGATCTGTCTGGGATGGTTCCGGCAGGGCTGACTCTGCCTTAAGCAGGGGGTTAAATTAGATAGGACCTCTGGAGGTCTCTTCCAGCCACTCTGAATCTGCCCCCATGTCTCTATTATCTCTATGACTAACATCCATGGGGGCAGATTCAGAGTGGGTGCAGTGATGCCATGGTGCTCCCTGCTGCTTTTTCAGAGTGCAATGGGACCCTCCAGGGATTTTTTCAGAGTCCCTGAGCAGGTAAGAATCCTCACTCCTTTCTCCTTTGTGCTCAAAGCCATGTCTCTTTCCCTTCCCTTCCCCTATCTCCCACCTGCCATTACTGCTTTCCCCACTGTTCCAGAGGCAAGGGAAACTTCAGAGCTGCTCCTGCCCACTCAGTGGGGGACTGGGATCAGATGGGAAAGGGGACATGGGGTGATAGGTTGGAGAGTAGGTTCTCTCTCCTTGCATGGGGATTGAGCAGGGTGAGAAAACACATCCCCACCATCACTGCCACTGTGGGGGGAGTAGGGAAGATGGAAGGGAGGGTACCTGCCTCTGAGCATGGAGGTGGAAAGATAGGGGTACTTCCATGCTTTGAGGACTTTAAAGAATCCCTGGATGATTCTGCAGCATGTCCTGTCCTCATTGGTGGGTTGCAGAATGGAAGAAAGGTGGGGAGGGGGTGGGAGAAGGGGATGACTCTGGATGAAATGTCCATCTTGCTGTCTAGGTTTAATGGCATTGCAAGCCTTGCTTGTTGCAAGGAAGCCAAATTGGTTTTCAGAACAGGCCAGGGCTGAGAGAAGAGGGTTCCAATCCTCCAGAAGGAAGTGGATGGTCTGGAAAGAGAAGAGCATAGAGAGACCTGAAGGATGAGGAGTCTGGGAGGCAGGATGGATGGGAACAAGCTGAAAAAGCTTGGGGGTGGAGGTTGGAGAAGAGAAGATGGAAAGGAGATTTAATCAGCCTTCTCATCCCTGAAGCGTGGTGACAGAAAGGATGGAGATGGGCTTTTCTCTGTGGCCATGGGCTGGGAGCAATGCCTCCAGCTGCAGCAGGGGAAACTGAGGCTGGAGATAAGGAGGAACTTGCTGACTCTGACAGAGGTCAAGCATGAGAACAGGCTGCCCAGAGATGCATTAGAGTATCCATCCTTGAAGATGTCCAAGGGCAGGTGGGATGGACACTGGGCTAGGATAGTTGCATCCAGTCTGACCCTGCCTAGAGCAGGGGGCTGGGATCATGGTGAGCTCATGAGCTCCCTTTCAGCCCAATGTCCCTTTGATCCTTTCCCCTGTTTGAGATCCATTTCCCAAGCAATGGAGCCCCCACCTGATCAGCTCCCTAAGTGGGGAAAGGATCAGAGGGATGTTTGACTGGAAGGCAACACACCTCAACCCCAGCCACCTGCTCCAGGCAGGGTCATCCTGGTTGCAATAATACCAGCTCAGTGTCTACCCCACCTATCCCTGGACATCTTTAGGCAGCCAGTTCCTTTTCTTGACCTCCAGTAGAGTCAGCAAGTTCCTCCTCAACTCCAGCCTCCGTTTCCCCTGCTGCAGCTAGAGGATGTTGACTTAGTCCTGTCCCCTGCAGCCACATAGAAAAGCTCATCTCCATCCTTTGTCACCCCTGTTGAGGTACTGGAAGTCTGGTATCAAATCCCACCTCTGTCTTCTCTTCTCCAGACTCAATCCCCTGAGCTCTTCCAGCCTGTCTTCATCTGTCCTGCCTCCTAGGCCTCTCCTCATTATTTACTTCTTGGGACCCTCCAAAAAACAGGCTGCATGTGATACTCAAAGGCACCTTATATGTGAGAAAATATGGTGTTTTTCTTATTACTGCATCCCCGTGGCTGACTCTCACAGACTGGGATCCACCAAAACCCACCCTCTGATCCTGCTCTGCAATTCTTCCCCTTCTCTCCCATTCATACAGGTGCTTTTGATGATGCTATCCTATATGAAGCCCCCTTGCAGCCACCATCCTCCTGGCTAAGGCCAGGGGTTTTTCTATATGCGACCTCTGGAGGTCCCTCCCAGTCCCATTTCTCTATGGCTCTATGATGATGGTTCTATGACTTCTGGAGGTCCCTTTCAGCCCCATTTCTCTATGGCTATGGCAATGATTCTATGACCTCTGGGGTGTCTTCCAGCCCTGTGCTGGACCGTGTCAGTTCTGTCCACATCTTTCTTGATGTGCTGGGTCCAATGCTGGACCCAGAACACCTGGGAAGGTCTCTCCAGTACTGAATAGAGTGGAAAAATCACTGCCTTTGTAAGCAGACTGAGACGGGTTTCACCAGTGCTGGGGAAATCCATGCTTATCACCCTTCTGCCCTCTGGATGCTGAGACAGATGATTTCCTGGCTATCTTAAGAAGCCATAGTGGTTGATACTGGCTCTTCCACAAAAGAAAGGCTGAGGCTATCCCAAATCCAGGTTGTTTTCCATGGAAAGGGGATGGAAATATTCCCACTTGCTTCAGTTGTGGGGAGTTTCTAAGGGGGTGAGTGGAAGCAGCCAGGCTGGTGGTCTTGAATGGGTTATGTTGACCATGGTGGTGTTTAGTTGGCAGGGATGGGCTACTTCCCTGTGCAGGGCTGGAAAGCTGGGAGTGAGGGGCACTGGCAGGGCTAGGAAGGGTCAGGGGGACTATGGGTCAGGAGTGAGGGGCATTGGCAGGGCTGGGGGGCTGGCAGGGGGCTGTAGGTCAGGAGTAAGGGGCACTGGCAGGGCTGAGGAAGGAGACCCCCAGTTTGAGATAACAAGCTTAGATGAAACCACCCATCACAACTAAGATGAGTACCCAGGCATCCAGGCCCACAGCTCTAACCCCTACCCTTCCCACCCAGAGCTGGGAGAGAACCTAAGAGTCCAGGCTCCTACCCCCACCTGCTTTAACCCTCCAGCCCTGACTCCCCACCCAGAGCTGCAAAGAACCCAGGCATCAGGGCTCCCAGCTATTTTGGTACCTCTGTGATCTGGGCCAGAACCAAGGAGACTTCTCTGGATGCAAAGACTGGGACCAGCCTGGGGCTGGGAGCTTCTTGGAGCTGGGGCTGGGAGCGGCGGACAGGGCTTCTCACAGTTATAAGCATGACTCCCCAGCCTCAGGGAGGGAGGACCAGCCCTACAGTTCCTCATTAGGAGCAAAGACACATTATCACCTGTGCCACCCCTGGGACTCGCTGCAGGAGAGGTGCTGAGGTGAGGCTAGGATCAGGGAGCACTGGATGCTTTACAGCCCCTCCAAGTCTGAAAGCAGGAGTGCCAGGCACTGTAAAGATCCCCCAGGTCAAGACAGGGGGGTGCCAGATGCTGTACAACCCTCCCCCGCACCCATCCCCCGGCCAAGATTATGCACACTCCCCAAGCTCAAAACATCCTAAATCTCTGATTGCTGGAAGTGGAAACAGTTGCCAGGAGTTTTACTAAGAGATGAGATGATGAATTTGTATAGGATAGTTTGCATAGGGCTGATCCAGCCTTAGGCAGGGGGTTGGACTAGACCCCCTAATCAGTGGTTCTCAACCTTTTTTGTACTAGGACCCATTTGTAAACATCAATGGCCAGTCCCAACCCAGTAAATAGTTTAAGTAGAAAACAGCCCCCTGGCCCTGTGGGTGCCCCTCATTCCCAACCTACAGCCCCCCACCCCCAGCCCTGCTGGTGCCCCTTACTCTTGGCCTGCTGCCCCCAAACCTGAGGCCACAACCCCACAGTGGAGTAGGAGGAGTGAAAGGAATCCAGGCACAAGGTGAGTTAGGAAGCCAGGAGATGGTGTGAGAAGCCAAGTCAGCCAAAAGCCTGCCTGTCAGTTTTCTCTACAGGGACCTTATTCTGACTTGGCCATCTCCATAGCATATGGACCTCAAAGCCTGACTGGGGGATTATCCCGAGTATTGGCTATCTCCATGAAAATACCCCAGGCCCAATCTGAACCTGGAGGCCTCAAAGCATTCCTGGGAATCATCTCCACATTTGGCCACATCCATGGAAATATATCCTGACCTTGTAGGCCTTCAGGCCTGCCTGAGTTTTCCCCATTGGCGGTCATGTCTGTGGTAATGCCACAGGCCCAACCTGGCATTGTAGACCTCAAAACTTGCCTGGGAATTATCTCCATGGGAACTTTATATCAGGTTGGCCAACTCTATGGAAACCTCAGACCTTGTAGGCCTCAAAGCCTGCCTGGGAGTTATCCCCACAGAAATTTCACATGGAAACAACTATCATCATGGAAACACAGCCTGGGCTCTTTGCAGCCAAAGCTCATGAGCATGGAGTCTGAGGGTGAGCCAGGTTGGGTAGCCAGGAAGTCAAGCAGAGACTAGGAAGTCTGGGTAGGGGTTAAACTTTGTTGCCGGAACTTCCTCTTCTAGGTCAGGGGTTTAGGTGGGAGGGAGTGATAGGTCAGCTGACCCTAACCAGCCCCTCAGGTGGTAGGGTGTGGACAAATGGTTAGGCCTGTGTTCTACCTCAGGAGGTGGTAGGCTGGGCCAGGCCAAGGTCCCAGATATGGCTGTGTCAAGGCTGTGGCCTCACAATTGCTGCGGTCTTCTTGACAGATTTCTGGGCCCATGAGGAGCCCCACAGGCAGGATAGAGTGGGCCTAGGAGCAGGATCAGAGGTAATGCTGAGCCCAATTTGGTTCAGGCACCAGCTCTGTGCCACTCATCCAGCCCATGGCACCAAATGGTAGAACATGATACTACAAGCCAATTATCTGCTGTATGTAGTTACCACAGGGAGTTTTGCCTGGTTGCTCATATCCCACTAAATTGGTGTGGTCCAGAGCAATAAGCTTCACCTTGCACGCATTAGCGAACAGCCCTGCCCTGAAAGCCTGGGTCCAACACAGTGATTCTCAACTGGAGAAGCATGACCATGGTGTGCTGGAAACAAAATGGAGGAGGCAACAATTTCTACCTGAGAGCCTAGTGGTTAGAGGGAGAGAAGATTTGCGCCTTATAGATTAAGTAAAGTAGATGTACATAACGCAGTCTTTTTCAGGCTGAAATTTACTTCATCAGATGTTGTGAAAACATAAACATCTGATGAAGTGACTTTCTGTCCATGAAAGCTTGTGCTATCTAGTTATCTATCCATCCATCCCTACCCCATACAACTCCCTCTATCCATCCGTCCATCCATCCTTGTCAATCCATCTGTCCTTTCATCAACCCCACACCCCTTCTCTATCCATCCATCCATCCATGCATGGGAGGATCTAGGTTTTTGAAAAGGGGCTTCAGATGGTGTGGCACATCTTATATAAAAACACATATTTTTCTCTAGTTCAACAGAAACTAAATACTTTGTTCATAAGCTAGGGGCCTAAGGTTGGATTATTTAGTTTAAGATCAAAGCAAAATCAAGTATACATATCCTGGAATATGCATTAATTTGCTAGATTATATATTAAATTTAAAAAACACAACACACTAGGCAAAAATGGTCAAATGGTATTGTGTCATCAGTCCTGTAGTCATTATATTTAAATGTACATCTCTCATTCAGATTCATAAAACAAAATCTCACCTTGGTAGTTGGCTGTCTAGCCTCCTTTTGAAGACCCCCAGGGTAGGGGCAAGCACCACTTCCCTTGGAAGTTGCTTCCAGATTCTAGCCGCCCTGACAGTGAAATAGTGCCTCCTGATATCTAGCGTGAATCTACTTTAAATCAACTTATGGCCGTTGTTCCTTGTTACCCCTGGTAGTGCTTGGGGAAACAGGGACTCTCCCATTGCTTGCTGGTCCCCTTTGGCAACTTTATAGGTGGCCACCAGATTCCCTCTCAGCCTTCTTTCATGGAGGCTGAACAGGTTCAGGTCCCGTAGCCTCTCCTCATAGGGCCTGCCCTGCTGTCCCCTGATCATGCGAGTGACCCTCCTCTGGACCCTCTCAATGTTGTCCACACCCCTCCTGAAGTGCAGCGCCCAGAACTGGACGCAGTACTCCAACTGTGGCCTGACGGTGTTGCATAGAGGGGGAGGATCACCTTCTTGGACCTGCTCGTGATGCATCTATGGATGCATGACAAAGTGTGGTTAGCCTTCCTGACCACGTCCCCACATTGGCGGCACATGTTCATCTTGGAATCAATAGTGATTCCCCAGCCTGTAGGTATGCTGCTGGTTCTCCCTTCCCAGGTGCATCACCTTACA